TTATATATATATATATATATATATATATATATATATTAAGCCATTAACCTCAAAATAAAAAATAACAATGCAAATTTTAAAAGAAAAAAAAAGGCAAATCAATAGTAAATCAAACTATCAAACACTTGATGTTGGTATACAATCGATTACAAATATCGCCATAAACTGCACAAATTATATTGCAACTCAGTCAACTCAATACTCAAAATCTTGAACACTGAAAGATCGACTTATAGTTAGAATCTGAATATAACTGCTCAAAATCTTGATCACTGTACACTTTCTTCTTCTTCTTCTGTTCTTTCTATTTCAAGTAAATATATACTGCAAGGACGAAGGAGCCCTTCTCAAGAGTCGCACATGTGCCCACATAGATCAATATTCACTCTGTTCGAATACAGAAACAAGGCCATTTCCTCCTCTTGAATCTGGATAGAATTGATAGAACCTGAATCGCCCTCACAGTTTCTTCTTTATGATCTTTCATTTCAAGCATATATCTTGTCAGCCTCGCATACCAAGAACAGTATAAAACCTCGTATTCAACTCCGAAAACTTCTTCCCACCTCAAACATTACAGTTTCTGTGTTTCATTTCCTCTCATTTACAACTGATCAAAGCAGGGATCCTTCTGTTGAGTCTTTCTTTGTCTTTGGCTTTTTGCAGAAATACTTTGCAGCCTACATGATTATTATTTATCAGTTTATAGGTTGAAGGATAATCTTGGGGCACGAAAGAAAAATTATCACTGTATCCATCCACGCCTTCAGCTAATAACTGCCAGATGAAGGCACCAGCCCGCCTCTTCTTTACGGATTCATAAATTTTATCATACACCGTTTTTGACAAAACATCTCTGTCAAACACTCCCTTCTCATCCACGTGCCGACTTGAGCCGACTTCTGTGAAAAGAACTGGTTTCCTCGGCGCAATGTCTCCATCACTTACATGAGCTCCCAAGCGAAAAATTGCCAGTTCTTCAGAGTACCTAACTCCACTTAATGAATTCTTTCTCTTCACAACTGCCTGGAAAATGCATAACAGAAATTTGCAGCCAAGAGATTATCCTAATGCAGAAAGAAGCATAGATTGCCAAGTCCCAAATCTTGAATGTCAGCTCTTGTGAAATTTCATTCCTATTACTTCCTAATACAGCAATAATTTTAGCTTAAATTGATCTAGCAGATGATGCACAATCAAATTTCAGATGGTAAGTTATAACACATTATGTAAGTTCACTAATTAACTTGAACAAATAGAGTTGTCACAAAACTCACTCATATTCAATGTTCCCATTTATTTTACAATCAAATAATGCCTGTTATGTAAAAGAAAATAATTCCATGCCATTGATTAAAATCCAATGACTTAGCCTTGGAGGTGTGAAACATAGCATCTCACCTTAATATAAGCCTTGAAGTAATCTTTAATAACTGGGTTCGAAAAGAATGAGTCATCTGATGAAGAGACATTAACTCCAGCTTCCTTTGCCCACTTCACATACTGAGTTTTTCCACCAAATGCAACCAGGTTATTCACCAGACTGAGAATTAACCTTATACGATTGCTTCTTGCTTCAACTATCACATAGTCTAATCCCTGCAGACAAATACCTTCATTAAACACAAATAGTTCCCAAAACTGCTTCAAGATTGTTCCTTTATATGTCATTGAAAAGCCCATAAGCCTTTAACCACACAATTGAGGCCATTCATTAAACTTAACCACCCCTCCAAGATCTGACAGCCAATTGAAAGCAAAAATCTTCATTTTTACAACCTTAAGAAGTTTATAACTTACTTTAAACATATTTTTATGCATGCATATATTTTTTATTTTTTTAGCTAAATAAAATAAAATACAAAAAATAAAAATAATATAAATTTGATTTGTTTATTCACTGACGCCAGACTCAGGAAAAAAAATATTGATTTAGATTTATTTTGTTTCTATAACTGCGTAATATTTACCAACGCCAGAGTTGGAAATATCCGTAGTTAAATATTCACTGACGCCAGAGTCAGGGATATTATAAGCAAATTATCCTAACACAAACTAAGAAACATATAGCAATTTAAGACGAAACTAGCAATGCAGCCTGTCTCAAACAGGACGTTTAAGAGGTGATAATATCTTCCTTTTTACGTAACTAGTTCCGAACCATAGAATCTTTGTTGACCAGTTAGGATTTCTAGTGACCATAATACTAGGTAACGACTCCTTAAATAAGACCATTCTCCCATCAAAAAATAAAATGCCAGAAATCCATTTTTTTCATGAATAAAATTTTTAAAGCCGTCGCGATGTCGGATGCGACAAAGACACTAGAAGAGACTGCAAAGCATCAGGTCCATGATCATCACTGAAAGCCCAAGTCCTGCAAACAGTCAACCCCATTTGAGATCCTCTCTTAAGCATCTCAGAAACCTTTGATCTTGATGAACTCCACACACTCTCCATCATCTACCAATATGAATTCCACCCATTAACATAAAATGCTGATTCCCCATCATCATCACCATCATTGATGATGATGAATTGAGCGGAGTCGGTTGAGACAAATCCCATCTTGAGTTGCCATAAAAATACGGGAAAACTGAGGCTACCGTTACTGGTGTTGAAGTTAAGGTAAAGAAGAGAAAGTAGCATGAGTATTCCTAGTTGGTGATCAAGTGGTAAAGACTTGGGACTAAGGGGTTTGCTCCCTCTGTGGTCTCAGATTCGAGTCCTTGGTTGCTCATATGATGGCCACTGGAGGCTTACATGGTTGTTAACTTCAGGGCTCGTGGGATTAGTCGTGGTGCGCGCAAGCTAACCCGGACACCCAAGTTAATCTAAAAAAATATATATATCGAAATCAAAACCAATCAACCAAATCACATGTTTTTGTCGGTGGCTCTATTAAGCTTCTGGCAAAGCCAACGGAGTCACCTTGTTGCTGACAACATGAGGAACCGGGAAATTACGACAGGCTTTATACTTGATGCCATGACAATTTGTGTTGAATGTTGATATTTCTCCGGCGGAAGGAGAGCTCTTCTCCGGTCAGCTTTCTTGCATTTCCGGTTCTAAAAATTGATTATACTTGTTACAAATGTATTATTCATTTTGTATTTAAGATTCAAAAAAAATATTTTTTAAGAAATTTAGTCTCAAATTTGAATAATTAACATATTTTATTGATTATAGATCAATCCATTCATCCACTCAAATTAAAAATTATATGTTAATTTTATTTATTAACTATATATTATTTCCAGTTCAAATCAAATAAAAAGCGGGTAGAAATCTTTTATGAATTCAATTGTTTGGACGTCAATAACTATTGAAAATTCAAAGAAATAATTAGTTTTCACAGGGAAATATCAAAATACACTAGACATTTCATAGAAGTTCTTCATTTTGAGAAAAAAAAAGAAAAAAAGAAGAGTGTTTTAAAGTAGTCAATCAATTGTTATCTCAATTGCTAATTACAAAATCTTGAGTAGTTGTTCAACATGTTTTGAGTCATATTTTCCCTTCTCATAAAATTAGGATCAATAAATTATCTTTCTAGTGGAATCATTCATTGTTTTTGTGAGGAGGAGGGATACAAGTTTCTGGTAATTAACAAAGCAAACTTTTGTTTATGATACAAGTTCAGTAGTTAACTTTTGTTTCTATACACAGAGATAGCAAAATAAAATTCAAAAAGTTTCAATCAACGAAGAAACAAAATAATTTATGATCATCACTCACTTGTACAACTATAAGTTCTGATCTTTAGGCACAAAAAGATCAAAAGTTCCAATCTTTCTTTCATGGTTCTTTCAAAAACCTCTGCAAGCATCTAAACCCAAGATACTGAGCACAAAACTTCTCCATTTCTTCACCACCTCTCTCCATACAAATCTCCTCCTCCATCTCCTCCAACACCATATCCCAACCACCATAAGGGTCCCACTGCCACCCACAATAGTCACCACCATCAGCGCCAACTTTTGCTTCGCATATTGAGTCCAATATTTCCTGCAACCCCACAATCCTACGGCTGACTTTCCTTCTTGCTTCTCTCACCGTTGGATCAATCCCCGGTACTGAATCGAGCCTTAGAAGCAAGCTCATCAAGGCCTCATTCATTCCCAGCTTTTCTTTCTCACTGCTTCTTATTGCATCCACTGTTTCCTGCCGTTGGATTTGGTTTTGTAACTGATCAGCTTCAGAATTAACAGCTGAGATTTTCTTGTAAAGGGTTCGGATCATATGTGTCCTGTAGCAAGATTGGATCTTGGTGGCAGCAGAAGTGGCAGTGCTTGATTGGGTGGTCGATTTGGGGGAGGGAGGCTTGATGGGGATTTCAATGGTTTGTGTAGGGTTAGTATGGTCATTATGGAAAGAGTAAGTGACTGTTGTGGTGGAGGAAGAGAAGTAGCTGAAATTGCTAGATGGATTCATGTCCTCAACCTTGAAAGAAAGAAAGAAGAAAAGACGGTCAGGGAGTGTGAGATGAGGGTGAGATTTTATACAGAAGGTTTTGGAAAATCTTGTAATAATGTCAAGGATTGTTTGTGGGCTAACGTTTTGATTCTTTTTCTTGAATGATCTTGCCGTTTAGCAGGGGACCCATGATTTGCTTTTGACAAACGGACATGCTTTTTGGGCAAATGCAAGTGCTTTTGATTCTGTGGTTGATTTCTATAACGTTTGTGATGAAATAGTAAAAACTTTATATTGAATTTGAGGTGTACACGACTGAAGTGCTTGGGCATCACACGCACCCTTGCAAAAATAAGGCCTTTATATAAGACAGAGTGATGAAGATTATGTGTTTTTATATGGAATTTTGTTTTGTGTGTTTACCTGGTAATCTAATATATTTATACATCTTAATTGCATGAAATCTTCTTATATAATTTAGAGAAATTATGGAGAATAATTATATTTTCTCACAAGATAAAAAAAAAATATTCCTTTTATTTGATATTATAATCTTGATGGTCAAAATAGTCACAAGTTTTAATATCATTATTCTCATTTTAATTAATAAATTTAAATATAAAATAATGTAAATTCTTTCAAGTTTCAAACTCAAATAGTTTTCACTCGAGAGCACGTTAAATAATAATATAAATTATATCTTGAAATCTCATCTAATAGTTTAAATTATTATGTTGAATTTGTTTTTTTACATGTTAAAAATAATATAAATCATTTCTTAAAACCTCACATAACAATTTAAATTTTTAAGTTGAGATGGTTGTTTAATATAATATTAGAATTTTGATTACTAAATAATCATGAGTTTAAATTTCACTATTTTTATTTAAATTAATCAAAATTAAGCACAAAATAATATAAATTTATGTAAATTTCAAGTCTATAAAGACTTTTCATTTAATAGGATATATTTGATAATAATATAAATTATATTTTAAAATTTTATCTACTAACTTAACCTTTTAAATCAAAATAATTCTTTAACAGCTAATGAGTTTTGTTGATTGTTATACTTCATTGTTCTATGGTGTAAAAATCTGCAAAAAGAACTCAAAATCAAACCCCAATTCTTAGTGCATTGAAACCCAAGCTCTGATTTACCAGAGAAGGGTTAGAAACAAACAGGCACAAGATCCAGATTCTATCACACCTGTGTGTTGAATAAATTACAGATTTCAATGAACACAACTACTGGATACACAAGATCACGGTAAGAGCCTAAGCGGTATCTTTGGATCTGCTCGTACATCAACAAAAAACTTGAAACGTATCTCGACATCGATTTTGGTGCATCAAACGTATACACAACGAAGAACAAATTACCTGCCACCCCGAGGAAATATGCTTCTTCAACAATCAACAGCTCTTCTCGAGTAAGGGATTTATTGGATTATCGCACAATCAACATCAGACATCGGCTGATGTAGGCTCAGAGCGCAATCCAACATTAAGGTGACGGGAGGATTCTTCCGGCGAGAGCAACTGCCAAATTCCCAGCACTGTAACCATCTCCCTGCAACGGATTAAATTTCAAGTAGTGTTTTGCATTTCACTTGATACAGAGGAAGGAAATGCACGAGGAAAGAACCTTGGATCATCCCCATTTACGAGGCGGGCATGTAATTCTTCTCACTTATGCTATTAAATAAATATATAATTTTTTAAAAAATAAATTATTCACTTATATATATAAATTTTTAAAATAAACTTTAAAATTTTAATTCAAATACACTATCCAAAATATTAAAAAATAAATTTAAAAATATATAAAATTAAAGTGAAATTTAAAATAAATCTACTATTAAAGTTATATCCTTCAATATTTTATAAAATATAATTCATCTAGAATCAAATATAAATTAATATTATAATAACTCATCAACTGAGATAAAATAATAATTTTATATCACTTGAAAAATAAAATAATTAATTAATTTTTTTATTTCAATTCCTACTTCCTTCACTTTATTCTTTTTTAAATTAGTATTTTATATGTTAAACTTTGTAAGTTAACAAGATTATTATTTTACTTTTTTTTCCTTTGAATTTTTTTATGTTTTTTCTTATTTTTCTCTTCTTCTCTCTTGTTTTTTTTTTTATCTCTTTCTTTATCTATTATGCTTCTACCTAGTTGGCAACATATAAAAGAAAAAAAGAAATGATTTATTTTATTTTTTAATAGCAAATAACCATTTTACTTTTAATGAGTCGTTTTGCTTTTATTTGACAGTATTTTTTTGTTAACACTATCAAGATATGTTTATCTTAAAATTTTAATCAGATTTTATTTCATATATTTTAAAATCCCTTGTAAAATTTTAGCTCAATCTAATGATCGAATTGAAAATTACGTTCAACAATATAAAAATGCTTAAATTATATTTTTTTATCAAATTTTTAAATTTTTCTAAAAGATTTAAAATTATAATCTACACTAAAGTGTCATATTAGAATGCTTCACATAAATTTTTAGTATTTTTTAATAATTCAATTAAGAATTACAAATTTTTTTATATAAAACTAATTAAAAAATATTGATAAAATTTTAATCCAGACGATAGCCAACCCAAAACCTTGAACATGCCTCCGCCCTTGCCATTTAGTGACAGTGGCTTTTGCCCATTAATTCCACAAGCATCAAAAAGATTCTGGCTAGCTCCTGCTTGACAATACAAGGGGTAGCTGTTGTTCAGTAGAGGATGATGGAAGGAAAGAAAAACTGGAATTCCAGGCGTCCGATCGAAGCATCACAGGTGCGCTGATTGTTCGAGCTCCAGGTGGATCAGATGGTGTGTATGCTGTCGAGTCACTGTTCAATATCTGTTAAGCAAATAAAAGTTATATATATATAGCAGCAAACTCAACACACTTAGGAATAAGAACTCTGAGAATATGGTTGCTTAAATAATATGATTTCTTACGTGGATGGAAAAATCTATATAATAATCCGTAACTTTAACTCTTTGGGCACAGCTCAGCCTGCTTGGTTTGGTTAAGGTCTTCAAATAAAAAACAAACAAAGAAAAAACATTAATATATAATTAAATTTATGTTATTTCAAAACAAAAAATATATAATAATATATCTTTTTATTTCAACTAGTTTATTAATTAACGAGAAAGATATTTATCTTAATGAAAAAAAAAATCTAAACACAAATTATGGGGGAATAAAGAGAAAATACATATAACAATTTTGAAATAAATTTTTGTTTTTTTAAAAAACAAAAAACATATGTTTTTTTGTTCCAATTATTTTGATCTATTCTAATATAGTAATCAAACTTTAGCATGTTTAATATTGAGTTGTATGATGTTTTTTAAAAATATTTTTTATTTTAAAAATAAATTAAAATACATTTTTTATTTTTTTAATACCTACATAATAAAATCATATAGAAACATTAAAAAAAAATCATTACTTTTTTAGACTAAATATATTTTTGAAATACAGTTCCAAAATATAAAACTTATGATATAAAAAATGTATTTAAGATTGTTGTAAATTTTTCTTTTCTATTTAAAAATAAATTAAAATAACTTTTTTTTTTATTTTTTTCATATCAAAATATTAAAATAATCTAAATACATAAAAAACTAATTAAAAAAATAGCTGAATAGAAAAAAATATTCCCACGTTAAGAAAGGGCTGCACGGTAAAAATTAGTACGGCGGATAAAAAACAAGCGACGCCGTTTCTGACTCCTCTCTCTATAAATAAACCTTCTGTTTGACCCCTATCATTCTCTCTACGAAGTGCAAAATCACAAACTCCTAAAATCCAAAAGCAAAAAAAATAAAAAAAATCAACGCATTAGTAATTAATTAATCCAATATTTTCAGAATAAATAAATAAATTGAAAGGCTAGTATAAATCCTAATCTTTCTCGAAGGATTAGTCTGCGAAATGTCGTTCGATCTTCTGTTAAAGCCGTCGT